ACTCTCTAACTCTATACAGGAGGGGGTAGGAGGGTATACACTGGGGGGACCAGTGTAAGCATTCTCTCGCCAAAACATTATAAGCCCAGACACGTGCGGTCATATGATGCAGCTGTGAGTCATGTGATATGTGAGTAAAGCCTGACTAAGCCACCATGAGATCTCTACATTTTTTGAAGGGAAAAGATAATGAATAAGGACTGTACTCTTTTCACATATTGGATTTTGATCTCTCTTATGTCAACTAGCGATTTCTTTCTTTCCTTCTGGCTCTGACGGGTGTAAGTGTGACTAATGATTCTATGAGGAACAAGAGATATTTATCTTAACAGTTTCCCATAGGTTGCAGTTTCACTTGTGGACAGGGATGGGTCAAGTGAAGATCATCTAACACTTCAGAGCTATAGAGAAGCATTGCATTTATTTCACTTTTACCTTGTTGTCGGAGGTAATCTAGCACTTATACAATTAAAATCTGATTGTGCAAGGTGACAAGTCTGAGCATGTTTCCCACCATGAGGCTAACTGTGAATCTCAGTGCATGGGTGTGGTTATTACTGGTCAAAGAACAATACACAAAAACCTACGTGAAACAAAACTCTTCTGACAATAGGCACGTTCAAGATGGACTTGGTCTGACTGACTGTGTCTGTCTTGATCAGGTGGAGGGATGGAGCAATAAAACAATGACATCAAGTCAGAAACTTTCTACTTCTCGTAGCATCACGACTGATGTCACAGGTTTTGTTTTTTTGTTCAGATGAAACGGATGTTTAGGAAATCCCAGAGTTTTTGACTGCAGCTGGCTTGCTACCGCAATCTCTAAATTCTAACCAGCATGCGTCATGTTAACTCAGCGCTGCACAGCGCTGCATCAATTAGAATGCAGCACTAAATGTATTTATTTGTACTAAGCCACTGAGTGTGCATACACACAAGGAGCAACTTTCATTTACTATATAATCGAACGAAACCTGGTTAGTGTGCTTGTGGGTGTGGCTGAACATTTGTTTATGATATAGCAATAAACAGATACACAACTCAACGACCCTGTTCAGACCTGGAACTAACAACCTGAGCGATCTGATCACAAGTTGACACAGGAGACGCAGTCATTGTATTTTAATGCCACGTTTGAACAGATCAACTGACCACTTGTGATCGGATTTCTCAGGATGGATGTTTATACCAGGTCTGAACTGGGCCTATCACACTGTACATAATATATGAGACCAACCCATCCACAAGTTGAGCCCTTTGTTTACAACCAACAAGGGAATAAAAGACAGTACGTCTCTGTGATGTTGTATGTTTACCTGGATGAAGGCGTAGTACCATAATGAGTGGATGTTCCAGTAGAAACCAAGGCCAAACAGACACGTGAACAATCCACTCAACAGCATCCCGACACTCAGGTAATACCGCAGAGGCAGCCGCTCTCCAAATATTCCACTGTTAACACAAGACAATGATTACAACTCAACACTCTCAGACAAAAACAACAAACCAGGAGTTCCAACAACATCACATACAAACCTGAAAAACATGCCGATGGCGTAGGTAACCAGGAAACAATTATCCAAGACCCCAAACAGTGTCTGATAGTTGTCTTGGTCTAGACAGATGGCACAGATAAAAAGATTATCGCTCTTTAACTCCTCATCCAACAACACAAAAAACTATGGCAAATGAAATGCAGTGTTAAGCTATGGAATCAAACCAGGAATTAAAACCAAGGTGTCTGCAGTGATGTGGAGCCGGTTCCTGAATAAACAACATTCACGTCTGATACCTTACATAGATGGTGACAGAATCCTCAGGTCTGATACTGGTACTCATAAACGGAAATTAAAATATACGATAATCTATATGTAGTGAAGGGTTTAGCTGGTGCTGGAGGTTTTATCTAGCATTTGATAACTAGATGACAACAACTTAAGGACTCACCAAAAGGAGCCCAGTCACACCAGGTAGCATTGTTGGTTATGTTAAGGTCTGCAGGGCGAATGACTGTGGAACAATTTCTGTGCAACTCGCTCTGAGTATCAGAGAGAAAAACATTGAAAGAAACTGGTGAAACACAGCAAACAAAACAACAGTGGAATGTAAAGTGACAAATGTAGTTATTGTCATAGTCAGTGGTTGATGATGCTTTGTTAAATGTACATTATTGTGCATTGCATTTTCTTATGGGTTAGTTTATGGTTATCCTTTCAAAATTGATTGTCACCTTAACAATGCTGATAGGTTTCCGTGACAGATGGTAGGCGGTGTAGAAGAGGAAGGTGAGGAAAAGAATAAAAGTGCGATAGCTGCAAAAGAAAGATCAAAATAAAGACGTGCCATGGAACAAGAGCCTTTAGGTGAATATAAAATGACTGCTGGTATAAAATTGACAACATTGACATCAATATAAACGTAACTGCTGTGTGTGTACTGGGCATTATGGACGATTGAATATTAATACTAATACATGGATCAAAGTAAAAATTTTATCTTAATGAATACTGGTACAATGTACGTCCCTAAATCACACGCCTGATCTCTGCAGCGTGAGGCGGTGGCACTTGTGTGTAATAACATTTTACTAATGGTAATAAACAAGCTTTTTGTATCACGCAGCCTCATGACAGCATTTCAATCAAGCTATTCTATTATTCTGAAGTGAACTTGTGTACCAAGCATACTTGAAGGAAATTTACAACAATGGAAGGAATAACAAGAGTCTATGTTAATATGTTATCTGTTAAGTTAGAGAAAAAAACTGCTGTTAATTTTAAGTAAAGTAAATGTCTGTAATTTAGTGACAAAAAGTTCCTTCTGCAACTATCCAGATTGTCAACTGTGTAGATTTGATGCATTGTTGTATTAAATCATTGGATTCTGATTGTTGGTTGGACAAAACAAATGAATGTAAAGGAAGACTCACTGTTTTCCACTGCTTTATAAAGCAAAACTCATTTTAAAATTGATCGCCACCTGCAGGTAATAATTAGGAGTTATTAGGTGTGGCCCAGGTCACTGTCTTAATATTAACACTTTTCATTTGGACGATTATAAATTGGTAAAAAAAAAAAAATTGACGTAACGATCTAATTTCTTATCTATTCATGCTTTTTCCTGGTGACAGTGAAAACCAATATTACAGGTTGAGATGTTATTAAAATAAAGTGCCTCGTGTCTTGCTAGATTCCTTAAATACTTAATGTATTGATGAGCACATTGATTCTGCAGAGATCAAATGTGTCGATGAGGGAGGAAGCTCTGGATGAGACTTTAAAAACCACTGGAGTTTGGTCCTCACAGTTGGAGCAGGTCCGGGGGAAAAAACAAGCAGCAATAACAAGACAGTGACATGATGTAATGAATAAAGAATAGACAGCCCCACCACAGATCCACACGCTTTATCGACGTGGTTCTGGCTAAACATTGACGCAGGGAGATAACACACACAGGCTGCCCTCGGGTAATGACGGTGTCGTGAACCGGCTGTTGGGGACAGAACAGTGGGAATGGACGGTGATAATAGAAACTTACCAACTGTCCCGAGAAAACGACGTGATGATGCGTATACCAGGAGCCAGGGGAGATCTCATGTTGGCTGAGAGCGGGGGTCCGTAGTTTAAAAAACAGGAAGACTCACAACTTGATTCCAGACATGTCCCCCGAGGTGAAGATGTCGCTAACACTGACCACGGGAGGCAACCAGCTGCTTATTCACTGGTTATAACAGTGAATCATATAAATATATGTTAAAAACAGACGCGGACCTTTAGGTTTAATTTGGATAAACGACACTGGGGTTAAAAAGCAGAGGCTATGTGCTGAAAGAATAGAGCAGCAGTCGTTTAGCTTCGTGCGGGGCGATACAGTCCGTGGACATCCAGCAGGGCTCCATTGTGTCCGGCTGCTTTATACCCTCCTCTCAGCAGACAGCCGGCCTCCCTCCATGCGCCGGTAGCACGCGTCCGGTAAGAATAGAAACGTAAACTCTATTATTATTAGACCGAAACGTGTTTCATCCAAACTGTTTTCCACACGGAGCCCCCCGGTAGACACGTGACCTCCCCCTCTTCTTTTCCCCGACCACGGACCGGAAACAGCTGAGGAGCGGAGCGGTGAAAGCAAAGCCCGGTGAGGAGCCGCAGGAGCCGCTGGAGCCGGAGCCACCGCTCACACAGCAGGAACACGTGTTGCTCTATTTTCTGGTGTGATCCTGAGGTTTGAGTCTCAGAGAGACACCTACCCTGATGACACGATTCATCACTGTCATCCTTATGAGGGAGCATTCACACATCTCCCTATTAATGTTAATTCACTGGCTCCAAACTGATTCGATTCAACACTAACACTTAAAAACTATAACAGGTTATCTCTGCCTTGAGTAATAAAGATTGAAAAAAATAATGCGAAAGTCTTGGTTGTGTCTGTGAAGGAAGGACACTTGCTAGTTAGAGCAGAGTCATGGAAAAGACAGAATTAATATTTTGTTGACTGTCCGTGTAACCCTTGTCCAATTTTCTATGATTTAAAATTGATCTTTCAATTTTCCTATGGCTAATCAAACTGATATGAATCCCAGACCATTTCAGCCCATAACCTCTTATCATGTTTCAAATAAACTTACATTCTATGATCAGCATTTCAATTTTATTAAATTATTTTTTTGTATGTATATTGGCAATGATGCCAGTTATATACACCTAACTAATTCTGCCTGATTAAAATAAACGTTGGTGTACTCAGGAATACTGGCTTGTCAGAGCGTGAGATAACCTTTAAGTTATTCATATTCAATTCCAGTTTATTCAGAGCGTATTTCTTTGTTGTTAAACACCCACAGGGAAAAAACATTCAGAGCATCTCCTCTAAGGTTATTAATATTTTTACTGAGTTTAATGTTTTTTTGTGCCTAATAAAGCTAAAGAAATGCATTCATTTTCAAATTTGTGATTGTTCCATCAAAATTATTTTAACAGTATAACACAGGGACAGGCCGATACAACTACATACAATTTATTATAATATAGCAAGTCTTAACAGGACAATACCAGGGTTTCCACTACATTCATTTTACAGCGGTGGCGGCCTGCATACAGGAAACACTGCAACACTGTCATATAAAGAATAAATAAAACAGTTAACAGATTTGAGTTTATCAAAGAATTATAAATTAACAAGACACATATCACATTCTTATAAAATTCCTTAAACAAAGCAAATCCTGAAAAGTACATTTTCAAGTTTACGCATGTATCAACTTCGTCTAGTCTGATTCTGAGTTTGACTTTGACTGCATTTTCCAAAATGGTCTTTACAAACAGACAGACTCAAACAACAAGGACCTGTTTTCTTTGAGGGCATTTTCCACTGCAGTTCAGCAGCTTCCTTTACCGTGAATCCAAACTCAGCATTGTTGAATGTAATGCCTGGGCATATGCTGTGGAAGAGACAAATGTGACTCAAGTGTTTTTATAAATTTCATGTATATTTCCACTGAAGCTCAATGTTATAATGTAGGGAATGGCGAAGCCGGTGATGGTGTGTGCGCTGTGTGTACCTTTGGGATTGTTGTGGAAGACACAGTTGTTAGCACAGGTGTCGGGGTGAGAGTCCCAGAAAGAGGAGGCACAGCAGCAGAGAGGAGGGGGCTCCAGTTTCTCCTGCGACAGTCTCTCCTTCATCTGAGCTTTCAGGGCGTCAATGAACCTGCAGAGTTACAATCAGTCCATTTTTCAGAACAGCGTCAACTTCAAGAAGCCATTAAAATCTTAGGCTGTACATATAGTTTTGGTTTGTTTGGTTCTGGACATGGAAAACAAACAAACATTCATTTTAGTTCTGACCTGGTTTGTGTTCATACTGACTTTACAAACAAAACTAATGGACTGATAGGTCTGTAAATCATTGGATGGTTTTACTTTGTATCACATCTTTCAGAGAGATGTTACAAATCAAATTCAATATTAACCGTATTATTTTGAAAACTATAAAAACTTCTACCTGTTTAGATTCTGTCTGATCATATTTTGCATATACGTAATAGCAGTAACTCACAAGTGTAATCTCCATGAATTACCTTGTAGCTACTTTGTGTTTTTCCTTTTTTCTCCTCTGCAGCTCCACAGCTCTCTCTTCCTCCTCAAGCCTCAGTCGTTCCACAATCAGCAGCTCTCTCTCCTCCAGCTTCTGTCGGGCCTCCACGAGCTGCCGAGCTCTCTCCAACTTTCTCTCTTCCTCCAGACGAATCTGTTCTTTCTCTGCTTTGATCCTTCATTGAGGACAGACACATTTGAAAGGAGAGTGTTACTGAGGCTGAACAACTTCATCAATTTGTATTTATGTACCAGTATTTTAGAATGGAAATTTAAATATGTTCTAAACACTTCTGTAGCTAAAATATGGTTTAATACACTACTTAAGGTAGAGCTTCAACAAAGTCATCATCACACAGAAACATAGTATTGGGCCATATTTTAGCAAAATAATAATAATACAATAAGAATAAGTAATATTCGTCACCACTGTATTCTATGATAAAAGACTCAAACTGAGCTGAATTCATGCTGCTGTTCTTCATAAAAACATTCTACAGCCATCTTTCAGAGCTACAGAAGGTTGTTATTTCATATTCTGATAGTTTGGGCATTAAATCACTTTAAATATCCAAAATTAGAGAAGTGGTCACCTTGCGGTTCTCTTCAGGTGTTTCCTGTACTGATTGTTCTCCTTCACTTGCTCCCTCTCAGTGCTCATGAAGTGGCGGCGCTGCAACAGGAACTGAGACTGACGCTGCACACAGAGAAGCAAGCTATCTGTGACATTTGCTTTGACAGAGTTTGCACAAGTTAAGTCGAAGGTTCATGACATTGTCTGGTGTCTACCTGTCTTCTCAGTTCCTCCTGCTCAGTCAGAGGCCACAGGACCTGTGTTTCTCTGAGGCTGGACTGGGAACCAGGATCAGGCTGTGATTTGTCTGTGTCCCACAACACACGTCCACTGACCTGAAACATACACACAGTCAAAAAAGGTTCAGTAGGTTTTGACTGCTGACCAGTTCTAGTTAGTATGAATGTACCGGGATGCCAATATCCAGTTATTATTTTTACATCTTAATCGTCCTCACTTTATCAGTGAGAATGTTAGCTCTGTTTAAATGTAAGAAATGACTATGCCTTATTACTTTATTGCTGAAGAAACTATATTTTGTGTTTTCAGATTTTATACCTGTAATAAAAACCCACAGACTTGGGGCTAAGTCACACAGTCAGCGTCTTTAAGTTAATGTTCGGTTGAGATCTGACAATGCTTGCAAAGGAGGCACAATATATCACAGGTGGAGCAGCAGCATCTGCTATTTGATCAAACGATAGATTTGTAAGACTATTCAACACAAAATCTCCACAGCAACATTCATCAACCATTTGCGTCTGGGTTAGAGTGTGAATAAAAGAGGCCAGGATTAAACTGCACTGTTGACTGCTGTTGCTCCCTGTTAGTAGCCTGAACCTGTGGTGAATCACATGATGTTAGAGGGAAATGGAAATTATGAGGATATATTTATCATTAACCTTGTTTAGTTCCATTATGTCATTATCAGTTACAACTTGTGCTGTAAACTTTGATACAACTGAACTTGACTCATTTTCACACTTATACTCTGCAGTTTAAAGGCAATATCAAAGTCATAAAGTTTGAGCAATTTGGATTTCTGAGTTCACAAGAGAGAGAGTTTTTACAAAAGCTTTACTAAACTCTATGTTTAGTATAGCACTGGAACACAGTACTCCGACACAACTTTTCAAACTTTTAAGACATTCATTAACTCACGTTATTAGTTCCCAAACAACTATCACATCCAAAAAAAATGTTCAAAGCATCAGTTTCAGTACCGTTAAAATGAAACACCTGAGTCATTTCAGAAGTTACTTAGGAACATTATCAAAGAAATGAATATCAAACGTAATATTTCCTACATCTGTGTGTTTTAGTCTATGTTTATTTATATTTTGACAAATCTATTTGACAAAACTATGAACTCAGACGCTGAGAAGATGGTGTGTGTGTGTGTGTTTCGAGCAAACTGTCTCTGTGACTATTCACTGCTGAAGACAAAAATCCGTATTACTATGTAAATATTAACATTTTTTTTAATCTGTTCATCCGACTACATTTTCTATATATATATTCAAATAATTGATTCTTGTAATGAATATGAATAAATTACCTTTAAATCCATCTAAAATCATTTTTAAAGAACGTCTACAGAAAAACAGAAAAGCCATCAACATGGAATACAGAGTAAGCCATGATGAAAAGCTGCTGCACCCCTGGAATTCATTAACCTTCTGCTGAACAAGGGGACAATCATGTTGACTGGTGAAGAAGTGATCCTCTCCCTCTTCCTCTCTCTGAACATACTCCTCCTCCTCGTCCTCTTCCTGCTCTGGTCTTTGCATGGAATATTCAGCTTTCTTTTGGGAACAGAGGAAAAGGTATCCATTATACCCTGTGTGTGCAATGAGCAACTATACGTTTTTTAAAAGAGGAAGAAGTGTGATGCTCACATGTCTGGTTGGAGAGATGTTCCATTTGCCTCCAGGAAGGTCTGACTTTGTTCCTCCATGAGGGCTCATCTGACAGGAGGCCAGTCTGAGTCTGACCTGCCTCATGCCTTCACAAGACTGGAAAATCATGGAAATAAATAATCCACTGAATTAATCACTGTCACATTATTTTCTTACTCACAGAAGGAAACAGTGTAATAATTCTCACTCCCAACAAGATACTCTGTAGTGAAGGAAATAGGACACATACGGCTGACTGAATCATTACAAGAGGATGATAGAAAACATACTTGAATTGTTGGTGTAATAATAGTAAAGCTAGTTTTAGTTATTTAAAAAAAAAAAATCATACCAGAAACAAATTGATGAAACTGTACTATGATGGAAAATGTTTTGCAACATAAACTTTTGCAATTGTCTCAAATTTATATATATTATCTGAGCTGCAATTTCTTCATTTCTTTATTTTTAATAGTGAGTAATATTTTCCTGACAAAAATCACTCTTGTATGTGATAGTTAAACATTTCTTTCTAAAACCTTGGGCCTTAAACTGATGTAAAAGCTTCCAGTCTTTTGGTCTCCGTATGTCTGCCATACAATCTTGAACCTTGCTGTAAAGATTTGCTCTCAGTCAGACACAAAAGCAGTGAGGTCAAAGAGTTATGTTGAGTGATAAGGCCTGGTCAACAGTCAGCACTTTAGTTCATCCCAGAGGAGCTGGGTGAGGTTGAGGTCAGAGCTTTGAGCTGGCAAGTCAAGTTTGTTCGCATCAAGCTAGGACAAACATTTCCTTAAGGGCCTGACTTTGTGAACAGGGGAACTGTTATATTGACAAAGGGGCTTCCCAAAGCTACAGCCTCAAAGGTAAAAGTACAAAGTGGCATGTGGGAATGCGCTTTAGGCCATTTTCTCTATGATATCGAATTAGGCCATATTTGTCTTTGCCATACATTTTTTTATAATATGAATGTGTGGGGGACACAATTTACAATAAAAATATATTGTATAAAAAAAGTATCAACCAGATAAAATCAAATATCTTCAGTAGTTTTCTGGAAGACACACATCACACAGGAAAATAAAAATGTGATTACTTTGCTTAAACTTCAATTATTCATTCATGCTCTATTGTGGTAATGTTATGCAATACCCTCTCACCTCCTGAGAGCTCCTCTCCATTACCCTCTGTCGTATAGCAGCTCCTGCAGACATCACCTTCTCACCAGCAGACACATGCTGGGTCCACACTCGATATTGTTGTTGTGGGATTCTCCTATTAGGTTTAACCTGGACATAAAATTGCATGCAATGTGGTTCTTGTTTATCTGGTTCAACACGAATCTGGACAAACTGACTGCACAATGATTTTTATATGAAGGCTTGCTCTATTTCTCTGTTTCAAATCAATATGAATTGAACACCTTTATGTTTTGGGTGGTTTTTGGATAAAGGACTTGAAAGAGATTGGAGTGATGAGCATTTTCACTATTTTCTGACACTTAACAGAACAAATGTTTAATAAGGTAATCCAAATAAAAGTCACAGTCACCTCAGCCCTTGGTTGATTTTTAGGAGTTAATGTGATTTCATCACACTTCATTATCAGTCATCTTTACCATTAGCTCAGTTTGAGGCTGCTGTCTCTTCCTGAAGACTTGGGCTTGCTGTGCCACTCGGTGGCGCACTTCATCTTGAAATCGTCGAAGGCTCTCTTCGTTCTCCCTCCTCTTCTCAGCCTGAAGCTCCTCAGTTATCAAAGCAAGAGTCTAAGCCAAGACAGGAGAGAACTGTCTGTACTACAAAAGCAACAACCACTACTCTCAATTCATGTGACTTAAATGTCTTCTTCATATTGTATGTTTTAGTTCAATACATTTAACATATATATATATATATATATATACAGCTGTGGCACAAAGAAAAGCCTTGTCAACAACACAACTTAATACATGTCTGCAGACTGTCTGCTCCTCCTCAGCCTCTGAAGGGAAGTGTCCGTGTCAACCAGGGGGAAACTATTTGGTCATTAGCGGTTAAGTCCCACACTTACAGACGGGTGTTCCTGGAAGTCTTCTCCGTCTTCCACCCAGGCTCCCACCGCCACCACAGCCGGGTTCCTCTCCGCCAGCACCCTGTTAGCTCTGGGGGCTCGGTGCTCCTTTCTGCGGTTGACTGGAGCTTTGTTCCGGCCGTTGGTGGAGGCTATGACCCGGCTAGCACTCATAGCTAGCCTTGCTAACCAGGCTAATGTAAAGTGCTTCTAATTCACGGCTAAAACAGCCTCTCGGCTCGGTCGACTGTTTGATGCAGGTGGATCGTGAAGTGGTTCAACGACAGGTGGGAAATAAAAGGTAGAAATCAGCTGTCGTTTGTTTTTGTTCTGCAAACATCAACAGGTCGGTTTGACTTTCGCTCACTTCGTCTTCTTTCACCTTCTGTTGTTTCTCAAACTGCTCACTGGCTCATTGCTGCCCCCGTGAGGCCAGGATGACACATTGTGAGGATCATTATGCTCTGATCAGCTTTTATGGACAAGTTTGGAATTGGATTGTAACTCTGGGTTGTAGTGGCTCCCCGTCGACATGCACATAATAACAGTGTTCTGGGAGCTACATATGGACAACAACAAGGACGACTAGAACTAGCACACTGCTGTTGTATGCTTTGTGTTTAAATAAATAAAACATATTGACTATTGACAATGATCAGATATCGCTCACAGCAGCAGATGGTGTTAAATGAAGCTTCAATAATGATTTTTTCTGAGACTACTTTCAGCTACAGAATGAGACACATTTTATGCTTCAGTAAGTTTTTGAAGCAGCTAAAATGGTTTGTGGGATTTACTTAAAACTTATGTGACTGAAGGAAATGGTGTGTCTCATTAATGAGTTTTTAAAAGTTTGCGGGCGACAATGGAGTTCTAAAGCACAGAGGAATGAGATACATTACGTCTTCGATGACACAGATGTTAGCAGGATCCTTTTATTGTTAGTTTTGGTTTTTACATGAATATGTTGACAGTTAGAGGAGTCTAAAATATCAGTCCCATGTCACTTTTATATTTAGCAAAATAAGACTAAAAGCCTGAGGATGTCGTTGATCCAAAGCTCAAACTTTGGCTTACGACCAAATACTACCTGTTGGTAGCGCTGTTCAATAAATCATAAACATGAACAGCAGAATGGTGCATGACAATTATAATTCCCCTCTCTTTACAAACTAATGGGATCTCTTATTAATGGAATGACACCAGTATTTATTTTTTCTTTATTTTAGAAAATGACAGTATTTTATCAGAGGAAAACATACTTTAATTGCACCACTCAGTGTGCAACATTTTCAGATATAGAGATTACTCTGAATGTCAGTGGTTTTGATAAACTTGCGGAGGACATCTGTATTCGGAGACGAGTCCAACTTTGAAGAGAAAGAGATTCAGCGGATTAAAATGTGAAGTCAGAATAACAAGAGATCTCTGTTATGTTTTAATGGTGATTTAATGAGGCCATGATCACGTCCACATCACCATGCCAAAGGACGTTCACTGAAGTACACTGATACAAGTACAACTCATTTCATGAGATGGAGGCATGCTGCACTACTAACCCCTGAACATGGAGCATTTCCATGACCATGGATCAGTAGATAAACAAAATTTGAATTTGCTACTGCACTGAGTGCCACTCAAACTGGCTACTTCTGCATAGAAAAAGGAGCCAATCCACATTGGTTTCATTCTCTCTGAAAATGACTGACCCCTGGCCTTCCAACAGATCACTCAGAGATGAAAAAGATTAGAAGCTCACCTGTATGGACTTCCCAAGCTTGGTTAGTGCAGGCTTGTAGGTCTCCATGGTGACAGAGTCAGGGCCGATGACGTCACTGTAACACTGGTAAACGACAGTGGCGATGCGGTGGACCTGGCTGTGGTTCAGTACTGATGAAACAGCATAAAGCAGAAGAATTTAAAAATCTGAATGGATGAAGACTAGACTGTTTGACATGAGGAGGGCAAACTCTCCTCAGTCCTCAGTGACCAAGACTAGAGCTCTTTACACATGTTCTTTAAACTATCAATGTCTTGGGTGCACCAAGACTAAAATCACCAAATCAGGATGCAAGACTGTGTTCTGAGTGAGTGGAGAGGAGCCTAATGGTGCCACATTTCATTCACTTGGCAGGTACTTTTTTGTTCAAAGATACTTCGGCCATTAAGACAAGACAAATCTGGGTTTGGTGTCTCACTCAAGGACACTTCAAAAGGAAGTTTGATTGATTATTCTATTCAACCAGATATGTTGGATCAGTCTTTGTTATATAAGCCATTTCATTTGTAGATCCCAAATACACACATTGCAACTTTACATTTTTTATTTAAGAAAGTGATGCCAATCCGCACAACTTATTACCACAACACAACTGACACAAAAATGTCCTTTTATAAGCCTAAAAGAAAGAAATGCCCACCTAGAGCAATAAGATACTCCAGAGAAGTGGACATGGGTGTGAGTGCAATTCTCTAGTATTACTTTTTTAAACAAGCAGAGCATTATGACCAATGAGCTGCGCATCTTTAAAGTGTTAATACGGTTTTCTGAGTGTTTGCAAGTGTGACAGAGGAAAAGAGATTGGAGCCCAGGCAATGAGAGAAGTTGGTACCTGCAGCTGGAAGCCCAGTTATTATGTTGGGCTGCTCCAGTGATTGGCAGACCGGCTGACCACTGAATGTACCGGTGTGGAGAGAGCGCAGGAAGGGAGCGGAGCTGGTGCACAGATAGTCTGCTGTCTTGTAATCAGCCACAGAGCTATCTGATAACACTGTCACGTTCAGCTCTCTGTGCTCAAGACAATCAAAAACCTGGATGAGACAAAGAAACACAGTCAGTACAACACAACATCATTTTTACAGTGGTAATCAACCTGAAGAATTCCTGCATGTTTGACTATTGACTATTGTAGTTCAACAATAAGTAACCACGCTTTTAGACACTGACGTGCTGCTATGTGACTGTCTAGTTACTGGGTAAAAAGGCAAACCTAATTAAGTTGCCACTGAGTTTATAAGTAATGACAAAGAATTTGATTATTTACAGCAGAGTAGCTCATTTAGTTTTATGTGTGTCTAAGCGATAATAACAATTACAATTTACAGAACAATAATTCTGAGTATTATTGTATAAACATATCCCACCTTTTCTGTCCACTGAAAAAGCTGGTCTTCTGCGATGTAGGAAGTCACTTGGCATATCAAAACCTTCAAGGAAAAGAACGTGAGACATTTGTGGATCAAACTCATACTGGTGTCTGTGTGGTGTGAATCAAAGCCAGGAAATACTGATACCCTAATAAATGTCAAAACAAATGAACAAGTCCCTAATAGAGCCATTTTCATCAGGGTCACAGGCGGTTTGGGTTTTTCTCCACTTTGCATTTCTGTGATATTTTAATGTGGCGCAGTGCAACTCCCAAAGCAGGAGGAGAAACACAAACACGTGGAAGCTGTAAAGAGGATGAAGTAGACGTCTGGAGCAAATTCACTCAGTGGGAAATCTAGTGATTGTTTGCCAACAAAAGAAAACGAAACACTTGCACCACAATTACGGAATAATTATTTTCGTTATTGATTTAATGAGCAGATTATATTCTTGATGATCCAATTAACTAGTTTCTCTTTGAAAAATCAATAGCAATATCCTAGAGCACAAGGCAATGATTTCAAATTATGATGATTAGATTAGATTGTCAAAATAATTGCCAAATCATTTTTCTATTTAAAAAATATTTTTGTTCCTTAACAAACATACTCTTATCCAAGCAATCCTGCTTGTTGCACGTCATTTTACCTTCATTTTTTATCAGTTATTTACTGTCCATGGTCAATAAATGCAAAAACAGGCACAAAACTATTTAAGTTATTGAGAAATCTACAGATCAATGATAGACTGTCACATATCTGTGGTCCACAGCTGCATCAGACTGTATAAAGGCTCTCTTCCTTCCGCTCATTAAATCTCTGCAGCAATTTAAAGCAGCAGGAGCAGAAATGTGTGATAAATCTGAAGGCTCCTCAGAAGCACAGTGCTATCACACATGGCTGCTGACTATGTTTATCTTGCTTAAACCGTGTGCGAAAGACATCGGGCTGAGAGAAACTACATCCACCGCTGCACGCATCAGAGCGATTGGTTATAACTCTGAGCTGTGGATAGCGAGGGCTCATTAATCCTGTGTGCCGTGGCCTACTTTCCAACTTTTACATCTGAAGTGGGGCTCCATTTCTTTTCTCAATATACGTTACAGTGCAAACGCTACAGGATCACATAAGTAACATATGATGTGATCATATATAAAATAGGACACAGTACACTGGAGATTGCAGTATGTGCTAACATTTAAATGGCTTCACAAACATATTGTTTTTTTAATTTGTTTCATTTGTCATTCCGCAATTCTTACATTTACCCACCAATGTATTCATTTTTCTCTCATATCTAGCAATTACCTGGACACAGCCAAAGTAATATTCTCTAAATATATACGAGTTCGGCTAATCAGGAGATCAGGACCATCTCATTTAACTGAATGATCCTTGAGTTTGCAGCAGCCTGGTGCCTTTTGTGGGAATAATGAAACAACAGACACATTCTGAAGTGATGTTCTCAGCTAGTTTGTCACTCACTGATGGGTTCTCCTTGTGTCTGTAGAAAACACATGCTGAATCCTTGCTGGTTTGTCCAGCTTGGCTCCTCTCGTTCCACACTGATGCATGACCCACTGTGTCCCAGTTTGCAGAGGTGAGAACGTACACTGACAGAAACCCTGTGAAGACAGAGCCTCTCAATACTTAACAATGGCTCACATGGGAATTTGTTTGATTGTTTTAGACCCTTAGTTTATTTTCTGTGTCTGACATGCACTCAAATATAATATGAAGACGCAGAGAACTACATTACATTTTTCTCACAGCGGACAGACAATGGGAAATGTTTAAAAAAGCAACCATTGCACAAAATAGGTTCATGAACCAAAGCAATAAAGCTGCGGGCCATAAAGTAGAAAAATAAACTGAAAGGTGCTAAAACACATGAGCGACACCTTTCACATGGAGTATTTCACCCAATTTATATGATCCATAGTTAATCATAAATGTTAAAGGTGTAAAATCTTAGCATTTAATCATATCAATTCTGTTTGTATTGTTTAACTTAAAGGTTCAGTGTGTAGAATTCAGTGACATCTAGAGGTGAAGATGCATGTTGCAGCTGAATACTCCTCATGTCACCTTCCCCTTCCAAACATGAAAGAGAACCTGTGGGGAAGTTCAGTTGTCATGAAAACTCAAAAGGCTTTAGTTTGTCCAGTTTGGACGACAGTAAATAACATGGCGGCCTCCACTAAGAGGACCCCCCTCCATGTAAATATGGTCAAGAAAAAAACAATTCATACGATTTAGATGAAACACACCAGTGAAAACATCACTCGGATTATTTTATATACAATTTCTGCCAAAAATTACTTTCACCTAAATCTTACACACTGAACCTTTAAGGTAAAAGATGTTGCCCTCTAGACAATAGATTGTGATAAACAAATTATGTGCATATCTATGTTCACAAATTGTCATCTTTAAAAGCGAAAGCAGAACCATGTCTGTTGTATGATATTATTGTATTATTATTATTATGTGGTATTAAAAGGACTCATCACAGGTAAAGTAGCACTCAGCTCGAGCTACTTACTGGCAGCGTTGTGTCCCACAGCGAGGATGAACTCAGAACACGGCAACTTGTTTCCAGACTTGAGTGAATCTGAGACTTCAGGGCTCCAGTGCAGATGAACCTCCCTGATGAAGAGAGACGGGGTCGGAGAAGTAGGGACAGTTTAAGAAAAAACTTCAGCAGCAGGGCTGTGGCACAAAATGACCAGTATATACAACTGAACACACACACATGGTACATATTAAGAGAACAATCTAAAAAAGGAGTGAAGCAACAGGATGACAGGCCTCAAGAGGTCAATGAATAGTTTAACGAGTATGAATGATCATCATGTGCTTTGACTTGCTATTGTCCTGAAATGTTAGACAGAGCTCTGCACCTCCATCATCAAAACACCACCATCGCTGTGACTCATCTCTCCAGTGCAGACCCTGAGACATAAAGTAGACCCCCACCGTGATAGTGTTATTACTGCTAATCACAGCTAAGCACCATACTGTCACGTTAGCTAATCAGCATAGAAGAATGGGAGCCACTCATAAACTAAACTAATAGATAGTTTACATGTGTAGCTGTCTGAATGATCTCCATGCTTTCTGACTTGTCACTTCCCGTGTGTGTGCTAGCAGGCTAACGTTATCCACCTCTTTTCCTCCAGCTCTCTGCGGATTTGTTCGTCCTCCTCGTTCTCCTCAAGCTCCTCTTCGTCTTCCTCCACAGCCCGAGAATACACCGACAGCACCTCGCCGAAAAACGTCGCCATGCTCACTGCGTTCCCAGAAGAAACCGAAAGTTTGCCTAGTGATTCAGATGCACACTCGCAGCCATGACAGACGAGCGCCACTTCCGCCCGCAGCGACGCCCCTTCAGAGTAAAAACCCCGGAATACTTCAGAATAAAAGCATAGTTTACTCAACCCTATGAGACAAGGGGTTGGGGAGATGGAAAGAAAAGAAAGAAGGAAGAAAGAAAGAAAGAAAGGAAGAAATGTAGGAAGGAATTAAGGAAGGGAAGAAGGAAACAAAGAAAGACAGAAAAAAAGAGAGAAATAAAGGAAGGAATGAATCAAGGAAGAAAGGAAGTGAGTAAAAAAAGAAAGAAATAAACCAAGGAAAAAAGAAAGAAAGAGGGAAGGAAGGAAGTGGGGAAGAAAGAACGAGGTAGGGAAGGTAGTAAGGAAGAAAGAATGAAAGGAAAAGAGTGATAATAGAAACAGAGAAAGAAAACATTTTATTAAACATGTAGGAGTTATGTGTGTATAGAAAAATATTCATGTGCCCCACTGGGAGAAAGATATTGATTTATTCACACATCTTTTAAAATACATTTTAAAATAAGGTACCTGGTCAAAGGTTTTAGAGATGCATCTTGAAATATCCTCTAGTGAAATAAAAAACAATATGGCTTCATCATGCATCATTTAATATAAAAAGAATACGTTCAAGCCTGTCTGAAAACAAGACTCACATCACCACATGTTGGTGGGAAGAGTTTTCAGTCATTGCAAATGTTCCTCTTGTCAACAGTGCTCCTATAATCCCTGTGGTCCTTCAGCATGAAATTCCCTGTTCATGTTTCAAGCTGCACTTCAGCTCAGCACAAAACACCATCTAGAAAAACACTCAGAGAATTTTGTACAAAAAAAGGGACTAAGTTTAGAAGATACCGACATGATTTGATTAACTAAATTGGCTGGAACCTCACGTTATCTGCTGCTAAACTTAAAATGCATTTTCACACAGATTTTCTCCTCCATCATTTGTATTTGAATTCTACTTGGACAAAACCTTTTCAGGGCCTGGGAGAATTATTACAGAGAGTAATGATAATTATTTCAACGTGCATATGATAGAATTGAAAACAAACATGTCCTTTGGCACCACTATATTTATCTCAAAAGATAAGATGTGACAAAATATTTCAAATGCACAGACACACATCAGCTCAAATACAATGTATACATGCAACACCAGTGGCTTCACATTGTCCCAGTGGGAAGCTCAAAGCCAGGGCTGCATGCATGAGTACTGCCTGTCCAACATATTTCTGCCTGAGCTGTTCACTTAAATCTATGAATGATTTAAAGCCAAGACTCTCCAGTGGATCCACATTGTTGCATAGTTATACAATATATAGGGGCTTGAATATGACTAACGATTAGTGTAGGGATGTTTGATATGCTATTTTTGTGCCGTGTGCCAATCAAGAATAAACCTCCACCAGCGTCTTACTGGTGATACATAATTTACAAGATTGCAACGAAGCAGGAAAGCAGGGTTTCTACAGGACGCTGGCAGATCATCTCCAGCTGTATATCTATCTGGAAACAAAAGCCAAGTCATGTTAGAGCAAATTGGCTTCAAGTTGACTGCAGAACATCCATCCTTTCCATTGTGTTGTATAATTCATTTTCCTGTAAGCTGTGCCCTGGGAGATGAGGGACAAACAGAAATGTGATGACATCAGCACGGCCATAAACATACTTCATTGTCACCAGAAAATGCCTGGTGTTGGAAAGACAAATTGGATTGCGGCGCAAAGCCTGGAGTGGAATAGAGAGTAAGCTCTATTACCAGCACAGTGCAATAATGTAGCAGGAGGCCATAAAGTAAAAAAAGAAAGGTTTCCTGTCACAAAATGGAGAATCATGCTAGGAGGAAGCTTCGGGCCACTGTTAATATAATTGATGGAGTGGAGGGAGAGTGGGGAGGGAAAGCCTCTAGGTTCAAGACAACAAGAGTGGAGCGTCAACAGCAGGACAAACTACTGGGAATGCCACAATGGCAACTGACCATAAAAAAAGGAAGAGGACCGGATTGTCACAGGACAAGTCTTTGTTTGGCTGAGGATGGTGACAGTTGTTTGTCTGACAATTTGGTCAAGAGCAGCAGATCCCGCCTTCTACTGCACATTACAAGCCCGAGTATGCACAGTGGTGATTTGGGAATCGAGCCACAGTGTCGAGATCCTGCCGACGGAGGCATTTGACCTATTGTTTGTCAGTCTCAGCTGTCAATCGCGACTTTTCACCCCATTATTACATATAATGACAGAAAACAGTTTTTAGAAAAATGTGACTGTGGAGGTCCTTCACCTCCACAGTGACTTTTAAACTTTTTTAGTTTGGTCCATCTCCCATCCACTAACATGGAGTTCATGACTTATACTGCAGTTGGCGACACGGAGCGATCAACACATTTTGGCTTCTCGCCGCCATATCTCATCCACAATCTATAGTTGAATAATGTGCACAAATTATAATAATATAATTCAATATATAATCATCTAAAATGAAAGGACACAAAATGGGGATTCCTGCATTTTAAATTTGAGAATAGATGAGATTTTAATCTTTTTTGACATACTGAACTTAGAGATAAGAGAACTAACAACAACAAAAAACATACACAAAACATTTTTTTGTTCTACATTGTTTTTAATCTAGGCTTATTAGCACTCAGTTGCTATTGATGAGCTCAGAAGGTTTCTAATCATTTCGTTTGTGATAATCATTTCTTGAATAACTCTACAACATTATTTTGAAGTTGTATTTATTTTTATATTTTTTCATCAACTTATGCTTCCCTTAAAATGAAAGGAAAGCATATGTTTTACCATACAGCATTACATAAATGAATCATTAATACTGCAATACACTTCAGTAGGTGTTATTTTCATACGATTTTGTGTAGGGGTTCAAAAGGTGCATGACGCCTGTTTAAAGCAGCCCAGGGGTTGTTAAGAAAATGCTACACGAGACCACTGAGTGTTCATCAGTCCACACATTTGTTTCTATATTTATAGTTTCAGCTTTTCACACAACACCTCCACCATGCACCCATTTTATCAGACCACCTACAAACAGTCACATCTACACGCAGGGGCAATTTAAAATGTGCACTCCAGCTCGGCTGCACGATTGTGGGTTGTGGGAGGAAAGTGAAGTGCCTGGAGGAATCCCACGCAGACACACAGCGAACATGCAAACCCCACACGGAGAGGATCAGTTGCTTAGGAACAGAATTGTTCCCCAACTGTGGGTGTGATCGTTTCTGAGCAAGGTGTGGGTTTTATTCATTTGAGCTTTTGTGTAAATGGAATGGGGCTGTGATAATGCTCACAGTGACATGAGGTGGGTGGAAAAGGTGAAACGCTGCTGATGTGCCATCCACCAGCTGAAGAAGACATCAATATGATGTCAGAGAGAAACATTTACAACAGGGATGTTTGTAGACTGACAGATCATACTTTTTTAAAATTTCAATTTTAAAGGACTTACTGAATAAAAGTGTATAATTTTCCCTCAAAGTACAGTCCCAATTTGATAGTTTATTAGCTCCAAAACACCTGACTGATATATATTCTTTGTTCTGAAAAGTGTGGAAGCAGAAACAGTTACCTGTGCTTTTACATCCTATTTTTGAGTTCATAAAATAATTATCAGAGACTGTCAGATACATGGACACATCTTCAGAGGATTGTCAAGGATTGGACGTAGACAAGAACTTGAAGCTGAAGATGTAAATGTAAAAAGAAAAGATTTGAGAGTAAATCTATACAACTAAGCAAGAAAAACTATTGCATTCTGCCAGCCATGATTTTCTTACCCCAACTTTTGTGACATAATCTTGTTCTTTTGTTGAGTTTTTTTTTTGGCAGTCGATAAACAATGAATTGGTGCATTACCGCCACCAATTTACCCTTTGAGTATTGTAGGGGGGCTGGAGCCAAACCTGTCAAAATGTGGGCCAATTCTCAACACGATCCTGAATTAGTTCCGCACCGTCACCGTCCTGGGGGAAAAAAGGCATCAGAAACAGTGTCAACAGCTATTTAAAGGATATTCATGGCCATATGTATGTTCAACTTGTAATCGCTTCTTCGGTCAACACTAGCTGTGAAGAGATTTTTAGAGTAGAAATGAAGGACAAAATCATGCCCTACACCCTGAATAACCCTCACGTCCTCCACATGTTTCTGACCCCTTCCTCTTCTGTCATTACTCATACTGTCACTACTGTCAAATAAAGCCAAAAATAATGATGATAATGTTAAAAAACTAAATAGTCATCATCACTTCCTTTCAAGTAGCTAACTCTCCTTTACAAAACCATGATATGCTGTCCTGTACATCTTCATTTAGAATGCAGAAATGTGAGATCCTTTTTACAAATGCACACGCTTTGTCACACACTAATGCTTGGGGACAGGGTAATCGTCGAGCACAGAGAAAAGTCAATTTGTGGAAGACATTTTCTCTCTGCGCGCGCAACAGCCTCATTCATTCTTTCCTAAAGCTATTTCTGCTGTGCACAAAGGGAAAGTTAGGCTGTGTCTGTTTGTGTGTGTGTGTGTCTGTGTGTGTGTGTGTGTG